TCCATTTTTTCTGTTTGTTCTTCCTTTTTCGTCTCCTTTTTTATTTATTTTTTTAACCCATGTTTTCTTTTGATATTTTGCAGGTGGTCTTTTGTTGCTTTGGATAGAGCAGTTTGGTTGGTGTTTTCGGTTATGTTAAGCAAGAGGTGAGTTTTTAGGCTGACACTGATAAGCAAGAGGTGAGTTTCTAGGCTGACACTGATATGGGAATTGAAAGCTTTCGGTTATGTTAAGCAAGAGGTGGGAATTTGATATTGATATGGGAATTGAAAGCTTTCGGTTATGTCGACACTGACACCTATTGTTCACCAAGTTTATACCAACAGAGTCAACACCCCTTGATTTGATTCAATTAAAATTGTCACCATTATTTTCAGTTTATTTTCAATTGATTCAATATGCAGCTCAAGGCTACTCATATTTTGATGTTTTAATAGCTGCTTGATATATTAAAATATGCATAATATTTTTACAACTTAAGTTTGCCAAATTAAGCATGATGGCACTGTTTAGATCTCAATTTATATATAAATAGGGCCAGTATTTTAACATAATAAGCAGCACATATATCATCTTATTAATTGATCTATCTTTATTTATTTATTTTTAATTTAAACGTACTAAACTAAGCATGATGCCACTATTTAGATCTCAAGATACATATAAACAAAGCCATGTTTCCTACATATTTTTACGACTTTATACACATTTAATGCAATTTCAAAACCCGCAGCATCGTGCGGGTGCATTTGCTAGTATGTACTAAAACCCAATGCAACCAAACACTGTAGCTAAGCACAGTGAAATGAAGAAACTGCGCTCTCTTTTTACTGTTTTGCAAACTCATTTTTCTTATCTGCATAGTGAAATCACGGTTTTGCCTCCCCTCTCCTTCGATTGTAACAACTTGGAGCCTTCGTTCTATCAGATGTTGAGTTCGCTTCTAACCAAGTTGGTTGGCCAGGTTTGTAACGTCCCGGCCCTAAATAAATCTTTAATTATTAATTAAACATAGTAAATGACTTTTTTTTTCTTTTGTGTTGCCTCAAAATTCCTTTACAAAATTCGACTTGGCTCTACTACTACGTGTTTTCTGCTCTCTTTCCTTTTGTTTTTTTCCCCTTGATTTAATCTCAAGCTTCCATGAAATTTTGATTGTTTCAGGAGAGCTTGGGTACGAAATCCAAATACGAGAAGCGGTTGTTTGCCCAAATTGTTTAACCATTCTTCGCTTTAAAGGTATAATTCATGATTGCCTCTCTATTCCTTATACTCTTTCTATTTTTTTGGTACTGATTTCTTTATTTTTGTAATGTTTGTTTGCTCATCATTTCTGCATTTTCATGTTTGTATATTTCTTTTCTTCCACAACTTTATACACATTTTACATAATTTCGAGCAACACCGCGCGGGTCCTTTTGCTAGTTATATATAATAATGTAATTTAGCATTCATTTTTGACGCAGCAGTACATCAATTTTATTCAATTTTCTTCTAAATAATTTTTGTAATTTACCAAGTCTAATATTCCTCCTATATATTCAGCTTTCCCAATTATCCATTGCCATCCACCAAAAAGTGAAAAGGGCATCGCAAACCAAAGGAGGAAAGACTTGTGAGAATGAATATTGGCTTGTTGACTTGAGTAAGAGTATATAACTCATAAGGAGCGTCAATCAAGCTAGAGATGCAAACTTTTTTAAGCGTGGAATAAAGTATCGTGGATGACTTTAATTTGCTTTCAGATAATCAAAAGTCCTCCTCAAAAATCAAACCAGCTACCAGTCCCTTCTTTATCAGCATCTTAGTTTCAACCGTGTTCGAAACTTAACCAAATCCAAGAATGGTTTACCTTAACTTTTAGTTTTGTTTTAGTTTAGAAACAGAGCAGCTTTCTGATTTATATTAATATATATATATATATATATATATTTTAAATTATATAAAATGGATGTGTTGAATTGAATGAACCAGTTATTCTTCTTGTTTTTTTTTTCCTTAAATTTGTAGCACCAAGTAATTACTGATGTAATTGTTTGATTACTTGATTGGTAAGTACTAATTAACTCGTTAAAACAAATTAACAGTTGTTCCTGAATCATGGTCATGTCATGTCCGCGTGTTTAAGGGGACAACCCGATAACAGTGAGTGTCCAGACACCACAGGCCTACACAAAAGGAAGTCAAAGTCCACAGGTCAGGTCTTCTATTTGAGATGTCTGAGGGGAAACAAATAAAAAAACCAAAAGCAAACGTACGCAAAACGCATTCTTGTCTTAACCAAATCCAAGAATGGTTTACCTTAACTTGTAGAGCTCGTTCCTACGATTCTTGTTTGAGGGAGGAAGAAGGCTGGGCTCTCTCTCTCTCTCTCTCTCTCCTCTCTCTCTCTCTCTTGTCCAGCCAAGAAAACCATCCTTTCCCACCTTTTTCTCTCTTTGGAAACACCAACCCACACATGGGGAAAGAAGAGACCAACACGCGTCCTTTCAATCCTATTCCAGCGACACCTATGCTAAGTTGGCACAAGTGGTCGACAATCAGAATGACACGTGTTCCTTAGCTGGCCCAAGGATAGTCGCAGGATCAGATTACCAGTCGACGCCCAAAATTTAGCCACGTCATTTCTTGATTTCCAATATTCCTATATCTCTAAAAATTCACAGGGCTTTGACAAATACTACCAACCCATAAACACATGTAGTTTCCGTTAATCACAACTGCAGCTCAAGTTAAATATTGTGTGTACATAAAGTAAAACCAATTGTCGTTTATTTGAGAGGCCAAATTAAACTAATTTGTTTTGGTATCAATTTATCAAATGCCAAACTAATTTGTTTTGGTATCATTTTTGCATCACATTTTCATCGATGGACTGACGTGTCTGTTTTCTGACGAATATACCTCGCAATTGCCTTGTGCTTTCTGGTTGGCCCGCAGCACAGTCTTCCAATCCTTGTATATTTTTAAGTAAGAAACCATCTTGTCTTTCCTTTAAGACGAAGTAGTTGTTGCTTGTTGTGAGTTGAGCAAGAAAAATGGGTTCCTCAAGATCAATGCTTGTCTTCATTAATCTTGCTATTATTATCTTAAACCTTGTTGCTCCCACCATATCCCAAGATGATGGACCATGCACACCTACGGCAGACTACTGCTGGAAATGCTCTGATACTGGCACCTACACAGCAGGTGACAAGTACGAAGAGAACCTCAACAGCCTCCTCTATTCCTTCTCCTCCAACACCCAAAACAATTCCGGGTTTTACAGTTCATCCAGGGGACAAGACTCCAACAAGATCAATGCAATTGCATTATGCAGAGGAGATCTCTCACTGGACTCTTGTCGGGCTTGTCTCAACAAGTCTACTGATATTCTCTTGCAAAATTGTTCAACTCATAAGGAAGCAATCATATGGGCAGAGCCTTGTATGGTGAGATACTCAAACAAGTTGATATTTGGTATTGAACAAACGAACCCTTTTAAGCATTTGCCTAGCCCAAACTATCCTAGAAATCCTAAACAGTTTGAGCCGGTGCTTACCCACTTGTTGGGTAATTTAAGTGACACAGCTGCGTCAAGGAATTCTCTTCAAAAATTTGCAGCAGGGCATGCAACTGTCCCTGGAGGTGAACCAATATACGCACTTGCTCAGTGCACTCCAGACATAGACAAGCAAAATTGCAGCAGTTGCCTTAAACAGTCCGTCACAGAAATTCCAATCTGTTGCGGTGGAAGGAATGGAGGAAGAGTCCTTAAACCCAGCTGTAATTTAAGGTATGAGAATAATAGTTTCTTTGCGTCTTCGGCCGATTCCTTCGTAGATAATCCACCTGCAGTTCCCGCAGCACCAGCACTTGAAGAAGGTATGTATGCTTATTATGGTTACCCTGCAAATCTTCAATTTGATCCATGTCTTACAATTGTGTGGTGTGGTTTTGGCTTTTGATAAGATATCCCATCTGATTTTCAGCAAAAAAGAAGAGTAACACAAAACAAACTGTCATCATCATCGTTGTGGTTTTGGTTGTTTTTGTCACTATTTTCAGCAGCATATGCTTTTTCTTCAGAGTAAAGAAACGAAGGGTAAAACTTGAACAAGGTAAGTTCACCTCTGTTTATTTATCTTAGAGAGGTTTTGGAACTCTGTTTGCTAATTCATTTTCCCCTTTTCAGATGAGAATTCGGAAGACGATTCGGAAGACGTTAGTCTGGTGGAATCATTGCAATACGATTTTGAAACTATAAGATCTGCAACAGATGACTTCTCTGATGCAAATAAGCTTGGACATGGTGGATTTGGAGCCGTTTACAAGGTAACAAAACACTATCACAAGGAAAAAGATTCATCATGAATGAATTGTTTTGCGTAATTAACTTTTCTAATTTTCTTATAAACCTTCAGGGTAGGCTAGCGAATGGAACATATATAGCTGTGAAAAGGCTCTCTAAGAATTCTGAACAAGGTGAACGTGAATTCAAAACTGAAGTCACGTTAGTTGCTCAACTTCAGCATCGGAACTTAGTGAGGCTGCTAGGTTTTTGCTTGAAAGCAGGGGAAAGAATCCTCATTTATGAATATGTGCCCAACACCAGCCTTAATCACTTCATTTTTGGTATGTTTGTTCTACTTTTTGTCATAATTCATAATCATTTCTGCCTCGATTTTGTATTATAGGAAAGCATATTAACAAAATCATGTTTCATTTTGATGGAATTGGATTTAGATCCAATCAATCAAGCACATTTGGATTGGGAAACACGTTACAAAATCATAGGAGGCATTGCTCGAGGGCTTCTTTACCTTCACGAAGATTCTCGACTTCGAATTATTCACCGTGATCTTAAACCTAGCAACATTCTGTTGGATGAAGATATGAATCCTAAAATTGCAGATTTTGGCATGGCAAGATTGTTTATGATGGATCAAACTCAAGGAGATACTAACACAATTGTGGGAACCTAGTAAGTATCTGCAAATTTCAAAGCTAAATTACATTGTTGGAGAGAATGAGGAGGATCTTTTAAGCTATGTGAGTATGAATTATAAGGTTTTACATTACCAAACTCTTTTTCTACCAAAAAAACATAACAAGAGAAAGCAGCATCATTTCTTCTTTAATTAATATGTATATAAACTTGATAGGCCTGGAGGAATTGGAAGGATAATACAGTGGCAAATATCATGGACCCAAAGCTGACGACAGGTTTAGGAATTGAAATGATGAGATGCATCCACATTGCATTGCTATGCGTCCAAGAAAATGTGGCAAGCAGACCATCCATGGCTTCAGTTGTCTCTATGCTTAACAGCCATTCTGTCACACTCTCACTACCCTCACGACCGGCATATTATTTGCAATATAACAGTGGATCAGACATAACAGGGTCCGATGAATCCCAAAACCCTATGCATGTGTCAGCAAATAAGAATTCAGATTTTACTGAACCATATGCTCGCTAGTGGGGTGGGGCTGAGTATGTATCAGGAACAATTTATTTTCTTTTCTTTGATATGCGCGTTTGATTGATATATTTGAAAAACTGCAGCTCAAGTTAAATATTTTCTGTACTTAAAGTAAAACCAATTGTCGTTTATTTGAGAGGTTTATCAAATGCCAAACTAATCCGGACTGGAAACAAGTTTTCAACAAAACCCAAATCCAATCAAGCCAACAGAAACCAATAAATTTCGGATTAACTTGGGTTGGGCTAATGGGTTTAGGCCCATTTTAAAATATTAAAATAAAAATACATTTTTGCATCAGATTTTGATTGATGGACGGACGTGTCTAACGAATATACCCCGCAATTGCCTTGAGCATCAGAGTCTGGAGAAATTGGATTCCTTCTTTTGCCTTGGAGAAATTGGAGGGAGGATACAGTTGAAAACATCATAGATCCGGTGTTGACGAGAAGTTCATGAAATCGAAGCGATGAGATCCATCCACATTGGTTTACTATGTGTGCAAGAAAATGTGGTGGACTGACACGGACCAACCGGGGCTTCAGTTGTATCCATGCTTAACAGCCAGTCTCTCACGCTTGCAGTACCCCCACAACCTGCATTCTATATATGAATCCACAACACTGGATCAGACAAATCGACGTTGACTGAGTCTGACCAATCCAAAAGCCTCTCTGTCTATGCATCAAAATATGAGACTTGAAATTACTGAACAATTTTCCATCTCTCTCTACTGCTGAATTGAAACCCTCCTTTTTGAAATGGTGCGGCAGCTTTCCTTTGAGAGCCGGGGAACAAAACCTCATCAATTTCCCAATAGTCGGAAGGACAAGAGACGGGTGGGCCTGTGATACAAAGTGACATAAAGTGTTAATGTCCTAAACCTTTCACGCCAATATCACTCATCAAATTAACTTAAGTTGGCTGCCACATACTTCGCAATAACACACTCCTGCATTTATATGTAACGAGAAATTAAAACGGCAACTAACAAAATTGAAACCCAATAAAACCACTTGAGTTGGTAGAAATCAAGAAAATAAAATGCCTTTTTAGTCCCCCCAACAATATACGCTATTGTAACATATTTAGGCTTTAAATTTTGGTTTATTTAGTTTTCACCAAAGTTTAGTTGGTGTCTTCTTGCGTCAAGTTGGTATGCTTATCTCCATGCAGTTCTCTGTCTATTGTTCTCTGTTCTCACACCCATCAGTGAAATCTCTCACTTTTTTTTGTTTTCAATAATGGGGGTATTTTTGAGTGTTTAATGGGTTTGAGTTTTTAAAAATGGGTCTACCAAACGGGTTTTTGTGGACTTTGGACTTCAAATTTATTTTTGAGTTTATAAAATTGAATCAAAGTAAGATACCAAACTTAAGTTTACATTGATCTCAAAAAATGTGATCTACTTTCTTAATTATTTATTGATTTTCCTATCACCTTTTGCACAAAAGAACTTGGATGAATTGTCTATCCTCTGTTTGTGTGGTGATTACATTACTGTATGTTTTGATAGAGTAGATTAGAACAGAATCTGGCGTAATGGAAGATTCGAAGGTTTGTTTTTATTTTCTTTGTTTGTTTCTAAAAAAAGTTAAAAGAAAAGAAAAAAAACAAAAACAGAGAGAGACAGAGAGACAATACGTATACCAAAGGGACGGGACATTTGAATTTCCTCTCTCTTGTCCTTCCCAAGAAGTGACACTTCTCACTTGGCTTCAACCTAAGATATAAAGTTACAAGACCTCTTCAAAGTCACGAAAAATATCGGTTACAAAAGTCAAGAAAAAACCCAAAAAAATGCTAGCTAGTCTATTGAAGCTGTAAGTGAAGTTAAAAGTTTTCTCTACATAAAAGCAGTTGTCATGTCATTTCTTTGAGAGACCATTGAAAAGAATTGGTCGGTCAATTCGTTTGGGGACATGGCGGAGTCAATTCGTTTTGGTATCAAATGCCAAACTAAACTGATCGATCGGAACTGGAAACAAATTTTCAACAAAACCAAATCAACCCAAATCCAACCAACCAATTACCAAATAACCAAGCCAACGCAAGCCAATAAATTTTGGATTAATTAGGTACAGACCCGCCGTAGAGGATAAGGAATGTCTAGACTCACATGGCATCTTAAAAGTCATGAAAGGTGCAAAAAATTCTAGCTATTCTATTGAAGCTGTAAGTGGAGACGAGTTGTTACTTGTGAATTGAGCAAGAAAAATGGGTTGCTCAAGATCATTGATTTTGTTCATTAATCTTGCTATTACCTCAAACCTTGTTGCTCTCATCATAGCCCAAGATGATGATGCCTCATGCACAGAAAGAGCTGACTACTGCTGGAAATGCACTGATGGTGCCACCTACACACCAGGTGACATGTACCAAGTGAACCTCAAGAGCCTCCTCTCCTCCTCCTCCTCCAAAACCCAAAACAATTATGGCTTTTACAATTCATCAATGGGAAAACACCCCAACAATGTCAATGGAATTGCATTATGCAGAGGAGACCTCTCACAGGACCTTTGTCAGGCTTGTCTCAACACGTCTATTGGTAGGGTCCTGCAAACTTGTTCAACTCAGAAGGAAGCAATCTTTTGGGCAGAGCGTTGTATGGTGAGATACTCATACAACTTGATATATGGTATTGAGAAACAGTACCCTGTTAAGTATGTGCCTGGAGCAGAGTTTCTTGATAATCCTCAACCGTTTCAGCCGGTGCTTGACTACTTGTTGCATAATTTAAGTGACAGAGCTGCATCATCTCTTAAAAAATTTGCAGCAGGGCATGCAACTGTCCCAGGAGCTGAAACTATATATGCACTTGTTCAGTGCACTCCAGACATAGACAAGAAAAATTGCAGCAATTGCCTTAAAGAGTCCATCTTAGAGATTGAGAGATGTTGCGGTGGAAAAAAAGGAGGAAGAGTTCTTAAACCCAGCTGTAGTTTCAGGTATGAGATTAATTCTTTCTTTTTGCCTACAGCCAATTCATTAGTAGATATTCCAGCTTCAGATCCAGCACCAGCACCCAAAGAAGGTGCGTATGGTTACCCTGCATATCTTAAATTCGATCGATGTCTTACAATTGGGTGGTATGGTTTTGGTTGTTAATAAAGGAATCCATGTGATTTTCAGAAAAGAAGAAGAGTAACATAAAACAAATTGTCATCACCATCGTTGTGGTTTTGGTTGCTTTTGTCACTATTCTCAGCAGCATATGCATTTTCTTAAGACTAACGAAACGAAGGGTAAAACTTGACGAAGGTAAGTTCAACTCTGTTCAATTGTCACACAGTCTTTATTCTTGTTAAATTTAATGCTCACTTGTCTTGAAGAATTTAGAAAAAGTCAGCAAGATCAAGCTTTAAGATATAATTGTTGTAGGCATGCTAGAAAAATCATAATAAAAATCATAATAAAAATCTTGTAATATTGTACCCTAGTGGCTTGGACAATGGCGGCAGCCTATACCTATAAATAGGTGTCGAGGCCCCTTGTATAAGTGAACTAACAGAGAAGGCCAATAAGCCTAGTAAACATTTTCTAGCTGTAGAAGGCCAATAAGCTTAGTCCTCTACAAAGCCTTGTACTCATCTATTGTTGAATAAATAAAATCACTATATTGTTCTTCTAAAAAACACAACAATTCTTTAAAATGCATTTATCTTATCTGATAGTTGTCGGACTCTATTGCTAATTAAGTTGCGTCCTGGATCATGAGCTTCTATATTTACAGGTTGTGCATTTACGCGCATCACAATATTTGGACCATTCTAATTATCTAACCGTTTAAGACATGACTCAAATGTTGCAAAATTGGGAAAATGCACTACTTCTAAATGTAGAGGCTAACAATCTAAGTTTGTTCCTTTTCAGATGAGAATTCGAAAGAAATAAATTTGGTGGAATCGTTGCAATATGATTTTGAAACTATAAGATCTGCAACAGATGACTTCTCTGATGCAAATAAGCTTGGACGAGGTGGATTTGGAGCTGTTTACAAGGTAACAAAACAATCACTTTCACAAGAAAGAAAAAAATTTAATCTAAGCTTGGTTTCATTATTTTTCTGTTTTAAACATTCAGGGTAGACTATTAAATGGGCAACCTATAGCCGTGAAAAGGCTCTCCGAAAATTCTGAACAAGGTGATCGTGAATTTAAGAATGAGGTCATGTTGCTTGCTCAGCTTCAACACCGGAATTTAGTAAGGCTCCTAGGATTTTGCTTGAAAACAGACGAAAGGCTTCTCATTTACGAATACGTGCCTAACACAAGTCTTGATCACTTCATTTTTGGTATATTTTCTCTGCCTCAAATTTCATATATTTTATAGTAATTTCTTAAAGATTAAAAATGTTCATATTTCATTTAATGAAATTGTATTTAGACACAAACAATCACGAGCATTTGGATTGGGAAACACGTTACAAGATCATAGGAGGCATTGCACGAGGGATTCTTTACCTTCATGAAGATTCTCGGGTTCGAATTATTCATCGCGATCTCAAAACCAGCAATATTTTGTTAGATGAAGATATGAACCCCAAAATTGCTGATTTCGGAATGGCAAGACTGTTTGCTATTGATCAAACTCAAGGAGATACAAGGACAGTTGGGGGAACCTAGTAAGTTCTGTGATAATATAGCCAGCTAACTTACACTTTCATTTTGTGCTCTCCTTGCATCAAAATTCAAAAAGTTTCATCAAAAAAAGAAGAAAAACTTACATGTCTAATGGAATATAATCATGCAGTGGATATATGGCTCCCGAGTATGTAATTCATGGTCGCTTTTCTGTCAAAACGGATGTCTTCAGTTTTGGGGTGTTAGTTCTTGAAATTGTAAGCGGTAAAAAGATTGGTAGCTTCCGATATGGCGAAAATGAAGTGGACCTGTTAACCTATGTGAGTATGAATACATTAAAGTCATTATATATTCTCTCGTTTGCCTTGGTAAAATTTCTTTTTGACAATATTGATCTACTTTTATAGGCCTGGAGAAATTGGAGGGAGGATACAATTGAAAACATCATAGATCCCGTGTTGACAGCAAGTTCACGAATCGAAACGATGAGATGCATCCACATTGGTTTACTGTGTGTGCAAGAAAATGTGGTGGACAGGCCAACCGTGGCTTCAGTTGTATCCATGCTTAACAGCCAGTCTCTAGCACTTTCAGTACCATCGCAACCTGCATTCTATATTTATCACAAGACTGGATCAGACATATTGACATTGACCGAGTCAGACCAATCCTAAAGCCTCTTGGTCTGTGCGCCTCAAATATTACTGAACCATATCCTCGCTAGCCGTTGAGTGCCAATCATACTGTAACATACTTCAGCCTTTAAATTTTGGTTTGTTTTATTAGATAGCACCAAAGTTTAGTTGGTGTGTGTCTTCTTGCTTCAAGCTGGGTATTTTTATCTTTAATAAAATGGCTTCCCCTAGTTTATCTCCATGTAGGTCTCTGTCTCTTGTTCTCTGTTTTCGAGAGACGACGGAAGGACTCAAAATTTTACTGAACCATATGCTCGCTCTTGTGGGGCGGAGTATATATCAGCCATATTACAACATATTTAGGTCTTTTTGGTTTACTTTTGACACTTATTTTTGGCTAGCTATTTTAACACAAGTTATGGCTTGATGTGTTTTTGGCTTGGTCTTGTGGAAGTGTATGAGATCCTTGATATCTTTTAGCAACTGCAGTTGAAGTTAAAAAGTTTTCTCTACATAAAACCAGTTGTTGTTTCTTTCAGAGGCCAAATTAAACTTAGAAAAGAACTTGTAGAATTATAGTTAGAGAAGATAAAAAACCAAACTGACCAACCCAAATCCAACGGTCCAATAAGCAAGGCAACACATCAAACCAATAAATTTCGGATTAATTTGGATTAGGTTAAATGGGTTGTGCCCATATTCAAAAGGGGAACAGAAAGAACACAAGAGTAAACCAAAGCACTTTTCTTCTGAATTTAGCCAACATGACTTTGTTCTTTCTTTGTCCAAAAACAAAAAGAAAGACTGTGTTCTTTCTCGGTGGCCCACAAAAGTCTTCCGCATTCTAAGGTTGTTTATGTTTTCTTTTTTCTAAGAAAGTCACTTGGCTTGGACCCTAATTTCCATTAAAAAGAAAAACACTATCGACCAAAACAAATACGCAAGAAAGTTTTAAGGCGACATTGGAAATAAAATGAGGCACACACCCAACCAATGAACCAATGAACCAATGACCAAGCAATAGAGACAACTCAAGGGAAGGGACCTTTGAATTTCCTCTGTCTAATCGGCAGTCTAAAACGAACAGCCACTTCTTTGACAAGAAGTGTCTCTTGTCTTTATATTGGAAATAATGAAATATTGTCCAACTCAAAGCATAAGAATCTTGTATTTATAAGGAAATGATGAAATATTGACAATTAATTGTACTTTCTTTCTCAAAGTGTGTCTGATGTCAGCCCGCATTACACAAGAGTCACAAGACCTCTTACAAGTCACGAAATTTATGATATGGGTAGAAAAGTCACGAAACTTATGATATGGGTAAATAATACTAGCTAGCTAGTCTATTGAATTTGAAGCTATTACTTGTGAATTGAGCAAGTAAAATGGGTTGCTTAAGATCATTGATTTTGTTCATTAATCTTGCTATTTCTATTATTATCATCTTTTGCACCTTTTGCACAGATATAAAGGAACATGTTGGTCTTGTGATAATTGTTATCGTAATTGGTGTCATTTTGAGAATGAGGAAGCCAAAGAAACATGTTGAAAGTAAGTACTTATTACTGTTTTTTTTATAGAAGAATTTGCATTGTATTACTAATGTGACAAGCTCAACTTGCTAAATTTTTCAAATTTTGCAAAGCATTGGATGAAATAAGAAGCGCAGAATCCTTACAATTCGACTTTGGCACAATTCGAGCTGCGACAGATAACTTTTCTGACTCAAATAAGCTCGGGCAAGGTGGATTTGGTGCAGTGTACCAGGTAGCTAGTTATTTAAGTGTTACAATATTGCATTTTGAGTTCTAATTTACAATTACCTTGACCAAATTTAAATATAAGCATACATATTTTCAGGGCAGGCCTGCCAATGGGCAAGAAATAGCGGTGAAAAGGTTATCTAGAGATTCTAGACAAGGAGATCAAGAATTTAAGAATGAGGTGTTATTAGTGGCTAAGCTTCAACACCGAAATTTAGTTAGGCTTCTAGGTTTCTGTTTAGAGGGAAATGAAAGGCTTCTTGTTAATGAGTTTGTTCCTAATGCAAGTCTTGATCAGTTCATTTTTGGTATGGTTTTCGTTCTCTCCTGCTGTCTGCATAATGTATTATAACAATCATTTTTTTTTAGTTAAATGTTGTGAAAGATTGCACATGTCAACTAATTATTAGTTTTCAATATATAGATCCTATTAAGTGCTAACTTCTAGATTGGGAAAGACTGTACAAAATCATAAGAGGCATTGTTAGGGGACTTCTTTATCTTCACGAAGATTCTGGGCTTCGAATTATTCACCGTGATATGAAAGCTAGCAACATTTTATTGATAAGATGTATCCAAAAATTCAGATTTTGGCAAGGTTGTTTGTAGTTGACCAAAATCAAGGTGATACAAGTAGAATCGTTGGGACTTAGTAAGTAACACAACATTCTAGACGGCCCTATTTTAGTTTTGTCATATTTAGTTCATTTTGTTTTTGACTCGTTCTCTTGTTTCATGTACTTGTGTGGAGATTGAATTACTCACAGATATGTCAATTCTTCAGTGGATGGCTCCTGAGTATGTATATCATGGAAAGTTCTCTGTTAAATCAGATGTGTTTAGCTTTGGAGTGCTGGTTCTGGAGATGCGCAGTGGTCATAAAAATACTAGCTTTCACATTAACGGAAATGCAGAGGATCTTCTTAGCTATGTATGTACAAGTTATGTATTATGAATATTATTTGCTTCTGAATCGTAGGACTCGACGACTGGCTAGTATTGTTGATCTAAATTAAAACATTGTTGCAGGCATGGATAAACTGGAGGGAAGAGACGGCTTTAAACCTCATAGATTCAACTTTGATGGCTACGGTTTCAAAAGCTGAAATATTGAGATGTATTCATATTGGGTTACTATGTGTTCAGGGGAACCTAGATGAGAGACCAACCATGGCTTCAACTGTTCTCATGTTAAATAGCCAGACTCTCAATCTCCCAATACCCACCAGCATTCTTCGCCCACAGCAGCATGGACTTAAGTACAATTCAGGGTTGAAACAATCGAGTGGATCTAGATCTGCTGAAATATCAGAAAATGAGGCTTCAATTATTGAGCTTTACGCTCGCTAACTAATATGTTATGATCACTTACAACTAAGTTATTAATTGTCGATAATGTGTCATAATATATGTACATATATGTTATCGATACATCATGAATAATATCCATACAAAATTCACCGATACATTGTGAATAATATCCTTACAAAATCTGTCCACCGATACATTGTGGATAATATTTATAAATAAAAAATTCGTAAATCATAAAATTTATGTATGAACTTGGATCCTATCCCTGCCTTATGGGTCAAGGTTTTATGTATCTCCTTCTTTAGTTATTTGTCGCTATATCAAAACTCATGATTTCGTTGATCCCCCTCCATGTTGAAGACTCGTCTTTCAGTGATTTAGACATTTCTCGGTGAACAATTTTGTTCTCTCCAACAAATTTTCACCGGGATAAACCTTGCGGGAGAATTTTGTTCTTTTCCGAATAAAAAAATTGCCAAGATAGACCTTTCCTAGTGAATTTTGTCATTTTTCGACAATTAGGCGTTGAGATTGACATCTCCTGGTGAAGAATTTTGTTCCCTCCCGACAAATTTTGTCAGTATAAACCTTTTCCCGGCGAATTCATTTCTTTGCTGACAATTTAGTCGAGATGGATCTTTCCTAGCGAAAATTGTTCCTTCCAGACAAACTTTCGCCTAGATAGACCTTTCTCGATGAAGATGTTCTCCCAACAAATTTTAGCCGTGTAAACCTTTCACGGCGAATTGTGTTTCTTGCTGACAAATTTTGGTCGGCATAGATATTTCCTAGCGAATTTTGTTCTTTCCCAACAAATGTGCGCCGGGATAGACCTTTCTTGACAAATGTCTCAATAGTTAAAGCTAGCTCTTCAAGCACTTGAAACCCACAAACCATGTAAGTCATCCAGAGTTAGCGGCATATAATTTTATTCTTCATGAACATATTTCTGACCAAGGGAGTAGCCATGACTTTCCGAAAATCCCTTGACGTTTTTCAAACACCCCCCTAATACATAAAAATCATAGAGAGGAAAATGTTTACAATCCTCCCAATAATTAGTTGCAGCCTAATTATTATGTTTTATGAATTAGTCATAGAAACCATGTTGAATATGTCAACGCAAATTATTGAGAGCCTTTCAGGGATTGCCTCCTATTATAATTTAACGTCAAACTTGCAAACCTGCACGTCTTTTGCACCACTAATTCAACGACCTTCAACGATCGAGCATAGAAAGATGTCTCACTACTTTTCCATCACTCAAAACCAACCTTAATTACTAATTATAATCCTTTTGCACCGCAAGTTTAAGAACTTTTAACGATTTGAATCGAACAAATTAAGATGTCAGATCACGCCCTAACAATCGTCTCCCTTTCATTTATCGGCCTACTCAAACTGGTTTTTTGTTCCAATTCCATTCACTACATCCACCACTACTGCTCTTTAGAAGTTAACAAAACCCAAAACGCCGCTTTCCAAGACAACGTCGACCGCCTCCTCTCCGACCTCTCCTCCAAATCCTATGGCAACAGATTCTACAACTCCACATCCGGAGACAACGACAAAAAAGTTTACGGCTTATTCCTTTGTCGAGGTGACGTCTCCCCCGGAGTCTGCCGTGACTGCATCGACGACTCCACCAAAAACCTCAAACAAAACTGCACCCACAACAAAGATTCGATCGTTTGGTACGAGGAATGCATGCTGAGATATTCAAACCATTCCATCTTTGCCACAGAGGAGGAGATGCCGTGGCGATATTGGTGCAGCGTGAACAAAGTTTCCAACACGGACCAGTTTAATCAGAGTTTGTCCACCTTGATGAATGGGCTTGTGGACAAGGCGGCGTTTGGCAATACCACTCCACCGTTTTTTGCGACGGGGGACGACAAGAAAGGCGGTGGCGGCATTTCAATATATTGTTTGATGCAATGCACGCCGGACATAAATGGGAGTGAGTGTCAAAGGTGTTTGAAGGCGGCTGTCGGCGGTTATCAGGAGACTTGTGAGGGGAGGACATGGTCTATGATATTTTCGCCTAGCTGTCAGGTGAGGTATGGGTCTGATCCTTTCTATGGGGAAGGAAAGCCAATCAAAAGTGGCGGTGGTAAGTATTATGAATATGATGATCAAGTTAATGAAGGGATTATAAGTTTTGGCTTAATTAATATTATTTTTGAGAACAGAATTAATTAATTGTGTGTGTGTGTGTGTGTGTGCAGGAAGAGGGAAGAACAATTCATATGTGGCTGTTGCAGCGGTATTGTGCATGGTTCTGTCTGGCTTATTGGTTAATCTACGTGCATGATAGAAATGCTAAAGAAATGATAATGTAGCCATTTTTCTAAAACAACAGAAGATCTCATCATCTGAACATATGAATTAAGAACAGATTGGATTATTATGGGTACGTACAAGAAGAAGCATTCAGTTATAGACCCAGATGTAATGCAACCAAACTGAAATTGTCCTCATGCATGCTCATGAAGTTGGTGAGTTGCTCTCCCTTTTCCCATCCAGTCTCCACACCTGCACTTCCAACAAAATATCTGTGAGCACGTACAAGTTGTGTACGTAACCTTCCAGGCAATAGACAATTGAATCTGAGAATCGTGCAAGTGGATTGGACGAATCCACACCATTAAGTCAAATACTTTAGTTTGGTTTTAGTTTAGAAACAGAGCAGCTTTCTGATTTATATTAATATATATGTCGTAAATTATATAAAACGGATGTGTTGAATTGAATGAACCAGTTATTCTTTCTTCTTCTTTTTTCCCCCCCTTAAATTTGTAGCACCAAGTAATTACTGATGTAATTGTTTGATTACTTGATTGGTAAGTACTAATTAACTGGTTAAAACAAATTAACAGTTGTTCTTGAATCTTGGTCATGTCCGCGTCTTCACAGTGAGTGTCCAGACACCACACCACCACAGGCCTACACAAAAGAATCTAAAGTCCAGTTTGAGATTGCTATCACTTTTTAAAAAATTTGCTTATGTTGTGCTTTGAAAATAATTAGTTGTAAAGTAAAACAGTTTTATGTTTGGTAAATAATATTTTTAAAGTATTGTTAATACAAAAGGCAGTGTCAAAACTATTTGGTAAATTTTAATATAAAATTGTTGTAACTATAAATAATGACTAAAATAGACATGATATTGAAAGCGTTATGCGCAAAGCATATAGTGGTAGTGGTGGTGGTGGAGGAGGTGGTGAAAAGATAGAGGTTAAGGTGGTGGTGAGGATGGTGGTTGTGGAAGTGGAGATGAAGGTTGTGGTGGTGGTGGTGGTGGTGGTGGAGGAGGAGGAGGAGGAGGATGTGGTGTTAGTGGCGGTGGTGGTGGTGGTAGAGTTGGATGTGAAGGTGGAGGTGGTTTCATTTTAAAAAATTAATTATGATATTTTGGGAATTAAAAAAATTCATTAAAGGCTCATTTATGCTTCTTTTAAAAACAACTTTTAAAAGCAATCTATAGCCTGCTTTCAAAAGCTGCTGTCAAAAGGCCACTGCTTTTAAAATAATTGAGATATTTTATTTTTGCTAAACACCTTAAACTACTTAACTTTAAAGTGAAGCAGATTTTTAGCCCAAAAAAGTGAGAAATTATAGAATTATACAATATCACTACGTCATTTGATGATACTTCCATTCAAAATACGCCACATGTACTATTTTTAAAGAAAAATTAACTATTTATACAACTGGATTTAAAAATCTAATTTTATAATTTAAAACCATAAAAATAAAACTAAAATAATTAAAAAAAACTCATTAATAATAAAAATCCCCAACAACCACTTCCCCGAGCTCGCCGACCAAGCCTCTGCCTGCCCACTTTCTGCCCTGGCTCCCATCGTTCTCTCATTTTTCCAGTCTCTCTCTCTTTCTCCCTCTCCATCCCTCCTCTTTAATATGGATTTAGAGTTCATGGAATTTTCTCTCTATGATGGCTTTAAGGTTCAAGGAATTTAGATTGAAGATTTGTTGGGGGTGAGTTTATGGTATTTGAGAAATTATTTAATTTCATACGCGAAAGTCAAGAAGTCTAAAATTTTTTGAGGAATTTGATAAGCTTCCAAAGTCCTACAAGGTATATGGCCATTGAGATTATTGACAATAAAAGCAAATTTTATAGTAGGTGAATAGGAATCCAATCTTGGCTGCATAGCTTTCTATGTATCAATAGCCGAATCAATTTTTTTTTTCTAATGATTTTGAAAGTGGAATCATCCATGTGTTGGGGTGTCATCAAATTCACACAGAGAATGAGGCAGTAGTCATGGAAGACAGTGGTGGGGGGTCACTTTCGATGAAGCGGTGGTTTTTGGGTTTTTTTATTTCTAAAGTTTTTTTTAAAATCATTTTATTTTTATTTTTAAAGTAAATATGAGTGTTGAATCCAATTGTCAAAAAATAATACATGTGGCAAATTTTGAATGAAAGTATCACCAGTTGACGTGGTAATACCGTACTATTCTATAATTTCTCCAAAAAAGCAATCTCCAAAGGGCCTAAATCTACGAGGTCTTCTCCTTGAAATATCTAAGGAGAAACAAAGTAAAAAACCAAAAGCGAACGTACGCAAAACACAAAACGAATTCTTGACTTTTGCTACTCCCTTTTGTCTATTGGCTTTACTTCCCTGCATCCATCCACAGACAAGACCAATAACAAAGCAGTCAAGCAACCCTCTAGACCGGGGCAACAAGTAGAGTCAAGGTCTTCTCTTAATGTCCTATATATGTCTAATTTGGTCAACCCTATTAGACTAAGGAGAAAAATAACAAAAATTCTAGGCTTACCACATTTTTCATACCACAATTGTGCCACCTCTCTAATAGAGGTGGGCCCCATTGTATTGGTGGGCTCCACCTCTATTAGAGAGAGATGGTACAATTGTGGTATGAAAAATGTGGTAAGCCTAGCATTACTCGAAAAATAACCCTATTAGTCAAGGTCTTATAATAAGGTAACACTATTATATTGTAAACTATTGGCTATGAGAAGAAAGCCAAGTCGGTGAACTTGGACAATGGCGGCAGCCTATACCTATAAATACGTGTTGAGTCCTCTATACAAGAGAACTAAGAGAGAAGAGGCTAATAAGCCAGTAAAAGGAAGGAGGCCAAGTTTGTATTAATAATTGGCACAAATTAATGTGCTAATCATCCAATTAAAAATATCCGCAAGTGCATGAGTTTATTGGGGTTTAGATTTGTAAGTACGGGGTCGATCCCATAAAGAACTGTCGGCTTACTAAAAGTTCTAGTTTGAGTAAGTAAAGAACACTTTTTTGACAGAACACAAAGGTAAGATACAAATTGGAAACTAGGAATGAGTAAAGAAAAGTAAAAGAAAAAAACAATTTTTTTAATTATGGAAACCATAAACAGAAAAGAATTATACGCTTTGCACTCAAACCAAGCCCATGTTGATTATTCATCACTTTTTTTTTTCATTTTATATCAACAGAGGGGGGTTTCGAATTCGGATCTCTTCGAATATTAGGAAGAGAAATTCCACTAAAAGAAGATGGAAGTATAGAGAAGAGAGTTTCATACCAATGCAACAGCATCTTTAGAGGCCATGATGATGATATCTGCACAAGAGACAATCCCAGGGCAGACCTTCTCCAAGGCTTCCTTGACTTCATCAACAACCTCATAAGATCTCAGTGAATTTATGTTTGCAAGGGCGAGTTTTTCCCCAAGCATTGTTGGTGTGTCATCAAGCAACAATGAAGCATCACAACCCTATGATTTTTTTACCAAAGAGGGAACCAATTAATTAGTTGTTGAAGAACAGCTTATAAGGAAACGCAGGATTGTAATTTTTATATATAGTTCACTTACATTAACAAAGCAATCATGGAATTGGAAGCGCATGACAGAAGCAAGGCTCCGGGGCTCTCGGATCAGAGCCTTCTTCATGACATGTCGAACCTCAGCTTCGGCTTCCGGGCAAGATTCTGAGTAGTAATGAGGCCGGAGTTGTGCACCGGCAGCGCTGACTATTATGTGGAGGAGGAAGAGTGAAAAGAGGGGAGACATTGAATTTTTGAGACAATTCTCACTACTCGGTAGGTGTGTATATGAGTTGGTGAAGTTTGGAGTTCCGTTTGAGGGTTTTTAAGCTTGTTTGATGCTTCTGTGCATGTACAGAAACAGTGGGTGTGTGAAATGATTCTTTCCCTTTTTTTCTCTCTCTTTTTTGTTTTTAGTGATATGGGGTAAGTTTTGAGACAAAGGCGATAGTATTGGATTACCTGTTGCATCCCTATTTTTCAATACAGTACTATCGCCTTTGAGTTATAGGAGGAAGCTTCATTTGCGCTATTCACTTGTATTCGTACAATCTTAGAGCATCTCCAATGGTGGGTTATATAATGAGGTGTATATTAAATATATATCATTTATAATTGGAATCACATGTACTCGGGATATGTAAATTATTGTAAATTTGCATTACAACCGTGAGATGCAAATTTAGATGCACATTTGCATCCTTTTTTACATCTCTTGCAGGTGAGACATACATAAGAAAAAGTGAGAAAAGGTGGACAAAAGTGAGCAAAATCAGTCACGTTTTCATTCATTTGGAATTTGGGCTCTTCTACTTCATTTTTATTTACTTATTTTGTTATTATTTTTCCCTCTCTTTTCTTTTTTTATTCCCTATACATATTTAGATTTACATATTCCCCATTATAACAAAAACCACATTTATAACCCCTGGAGGTGTAAAGGGAATGTAAAAGTGGAGAAATTATAAAATGATACGGTATCACCACGTCATCTGGTGATACTTCCATTCAAAATGCTATATGTGTATTATTTTTTAAAGAAAAATTAATTATTTATACAGCTGGATTTAAAAATCTAATTTTATAATTTAAAACCATAAAAATAAAACTAAAATAATTAAAAAAAACTCATTAATAATAAAAATCCCCAACAACCACTTCCCCGAGCTCGCCGACCAAGCCTCTGCCTGCCCACTTTCTGCCCTGGCTCCCATCGTTCTCTCATTTTTCCAGTCTCTCTCTCTTTCTCCCTCTCCATCCCTCCTCTTTAATATGGATTTAGAGTTCATGGAATTTTCTCTCTATGATGGCTTTAAGGTTCAAGGAATTTAGATTGAAGATTTGTTGGGGGTGAGTTTATGGTATTTGAGAAATTATTTAATTTCATACGCGAAAGTCAAGAAGTCTAAAATTTTTTGAGGAATTTGATAAGCTTCCAAAGTCCTACAAGGTATATGGCCATTGAGATTATTGACAATAAAAGCAAATTTTATAGTAGGTGAATAGGAATCCAATCTTGGCTGCATAGCTTTCTATGTATCAATAGCCGAATCAATTTTTTTTTTCTAATGATTTTGAAAGTGGAATCATCCATGTGTTGGGGTGTCATCAAATTCACACAGAGAATGAGGCAGTAGTCATGGAAGACAGTGGTGGGGGGTCACTTTCGATGAAGCGGTGGTTTTTGGGTTTTTTTATTTCTAAAGTTTTTTTTAAAATCATTTTATTTTTATTTTTAAAGTAAATATGAGTGTTGAATCCAATTGTCAAAAAATAATACATGTGGCAAATTTTGAATGAAAGTATCACCAGTTGACGTGGTAATACCGTACTATTCTATAATTTCTCCAAAAAAGCAATCTCCAAAGGGCCTAAATCTACGAGGTCTTCTCCTTGAAATATCTAAGGAGAAACAAAGTAAAAAACCAAAAGCGAACGTACGCAAAACACAAAACGAATT